TAGACGATCGTGATGGAGGGAAGGTACTGGCGCTGAGGTACAAGAGCTACCCCAGAGACTATCAGCCACATCGCCTCACCACTAAACCTTCTCAGACGTCCTTCTACAACGACTCGGCGACCTTTATAGGCAAGGATCGGAACGGTCAAAGTGCTCAGAGGAGTGTCCAGGATTCCCTTCGCGACTCTCCTCAACAGTCAAACAGCCTGCCGGCTCGCAGATTGTTCTGCGACTGTGTACCGCAGAAGAGGGCACCCAAGGCGTGTCAGCCCATTTGTCTGTGCCCAAATATCGCAGAACACCGGAGGAAGAAAAGCTATCAACCCGACCAGAGCCTGCTGGACTACATTGACGAAGCGAAGAAAGGGATGAAGCCAAGCACGTTGCAATTCTGGAATGAGAAAATCAAGGAGGACAAAAAGAAGCAACAAGAGGCAAAAGGCACTAGCGGGGCCGCAGTCTCTGCTTTCAACAATTCCTTCAGTAATGACGATGCCCGGAGCTACGAGGGCGAGTACACCAACTACATGAGCAACTTCTCCCTAGCCGATTCAGACGAGTTTCAGCAAACTACCCGAGGAGGGGATCTCCGTCACGAGTTCTTGATCGATTCGGGTACACCCAACCACATTACCAACAACAAAGACCTCCTTAGCAGCTTCCGTGAGGCCACCGACACTGTAAGATACAGAACGGGGGGAGGCAAATCAAACCCTGTCGAAGGGTATGGCACGATGACCATTGAAACTCTCGACAGCAAGCAGAACGTCATCAGAATCACCTGTCATGATGTCTCGTACATCAGAGACTACCCAACAACGCTCGTTTCAGCCAGGCAGCTCCAGCGTCAAGGACTCGGACTGGACTCGCTCAGGAGCATGCTGTTCAACCCAGCCAGTGGCTCAGAGATCCCACTGCAGGAGAAGGGTGGCCAGTATGCAGTGAACACTCTACACAGCATCACTTCCTTCTATCACTCCAAGAAGCAGAGCCGCAATGGTCAGCGACTCGAGGCTCTGGCACGAACGGCTGGCTCACGCCCACCCAGAGGCCATACAGCTGTATTGGAGTTGGGGTAAAGGGACCAACAACATTCGAGTGCGAGTCTTGCCGGGTAGCAAAATCCAAGAGGATTGTGTCTCGGAGACAGCCAACGTACACGACGACGGATCCATTCGAGCGCGTCAACCTGGATTTTTTCAGCCCTGGAAGGTCATACAACGGCATGGAGTCGTGTCTCGTAATCACAGACGCCTACTCGGGGAAGATCGTTGTCAGGATTCTACCTGCAAGAGCAGATGGCTTCCAGGCATTTATCAACTTTGAGATGTTTTTATGGAGACAGTACCAGCTGGTCATCAAGGTCCTCAGAGTGGACTGGGACTCGGCACTACGCAGCAATCTAGTTACTTGGTCAGAAGAGTGCGGCATCCTCTTGGAGAGATCAGCCGCCAGGACACCAGAACAGAACGGTGCTGCAGAACGCAACGGAGGCACGATATTCACCATCGCACGGACCCTTACCTCGGCTGCCGGGTTCCCGGAGGATTTGTGGCCAGAGGTGGTACAAGCCGCCGCATATCTCCACAACCTGACGCCGAAGGGGCGCCTACAGTGGGCAACACCAGAAGGAAAGCTGAATTACTGGCTCAATTCCAAGGGTCTTGCTGCTCGAACCACGGCTCCAGGCCTAGCTCACCTGCGAAGATACGGGTGCAGGGCGTATCCTCTCACGGCAGACGCCCAACACGGACGCAACCGGAAGCAGAAACTGGCCCCAAGAGCCCATATCGGCTATCTCTGCGGATACGACAGCAGCAACATATACAGAATCTGGGTTCCGGAGATGAAAGCGGTATTGAGGACAGAGACGTGGGTTTCGATGAATCCACAGTTTC